TTCTGCGGGCCATGTATAAGTAGGTGTGAAGTTTACCTTCACCACAATTTTTGCCAATATATTTAATTCGAATGGGTTGCAGTAGGTGGATATTTGTGTTTTATCCTGGTTTTTGCTTTAAAACTACGTTTTTCCATAATAAAATCGAATGGGGTGCGAAGAAGGGCTCAGTTGACGACTGGCATCCTTTTTTAACCGGAAACGCTTCAAAAAACAGCAAAATTGGCTCAATGATGATCTAAAACTAAAATCGAAATACGCGGTCGCCTTATAGCGCTATAAGCGCTTGTCGTTTCGTGCCGCTGGTTAGGCCTCACTAAGTGACGTCACCCACGGAGCATGCAGGCCTTGTTGTATCGGTGGTAACGGTATAGGTGTTTATGTATCATAAATATAATCACACATGTATTTCGAGTAATTTATCGCGATTTTTTATATTCTTGAATTTGAGTGTAATTCACACTGGCCCAAGACTAGGTGGAGATAAACTACACTGGTGTGAAATGCACTTTTCAAAAGAATGCTCAAATACGGTGTAAATTACACGAGGTGTACGAATGTGCTACACTTTTCGTACAAAAGGAAGGGCCTATCCTAACTCCGACCATCAAAGATTGTAAGTTAGACATGTTTTTCCGTAGTTTTTAATGTCATCGCAACGTCATATAATAACTTCGACGAGCGCGAATAGGTTATAAACGAGTCTTGTGGTATAAACACCCACTTCAATTTATACCAATACGGCCCTTTTCGCAGCACAACAGTTATAAAAATAAAAAGAATGCAGGTATGTTTAGTGAGGTATGTCTATCCAAAGTCAATAATTGTAGAGTAATAATTGGAGTGTCAGATGTACAATGAATGGATGGTCATCATACATGGCGTGGAAAAAAATGTTAAATTGAAAAACCCAATCTGTGAATGTCTGCCACATGCACGGAATTCAAACGATCTTCGAAAGAAGCGAAACCGCGTTGCGTACCTATATGTTTTTTCTCGAGGTGCTCCAACTGAATTTGAATCGACATAACAACATTTTAATATGACAAAATAGACACCAATCGATATACTTATGAATAGTTCTGTCGGTTTTAGTAACGCCATTCAATGATATATTATCAGTTTCGTTCTCAAATTTTCAATTTCAATGAAGTTTCGCAATCAATTCCTCTTTTTTCATAATAAATCTGTTTTGAATTTCGTACTCTGATGATAAGAATGGTTTTTTTAGTATGTTTTGTGAATGGATGGAACAGCAGATTCTTTAAACGGAATTTTTAAACGGATCTTAAAACCCTCTCTTTGAAAATGAGCCTAAAATATTGATGTAGGTATGTATGTATGTACCTGAGTACCTCACAAATATGACTTGTCTTCAAATTAATTTTCCATCTCAGGCCGTTTCATACATCCCATCCATAAGGGAACGATTGATATTTCGTTTGGGAATTAAAATGAATGAAAACCATTCTCTTCAGAATTCCCACAATTCATTACACAGCAGAACATTTTCATTTATGCTGTCTTGTCAATAGTTTATGAATTTACATTTCAATTCTGACGTTCATATTTATTGTCAAATTTAAACAATTTTGAATAAAAAAGCGCGGGCCTATAACTTATAATGAATGCGAACATTCAAAAACATTAACAGATGTTATTTTTGTGTCCGAACTCTTATCTAACTAATACCATTCAGTGACTCTAGTGAATCTCGGATTATTTGGGTGATGAAATGAAAATAACGAACATCTAACCTAACATCAGGTGAGCACTTCGAAGGCGCAAATTAATTACTACATTGAAGATACCCTTCAGAATATTTGCTATTCAGTGACTTGACCCCAAATGATATTGATGATTTATTCTTCTGCTGCGCGAACAAAATTCAGATGCCATGAGTCGATTCGATATGTATCCAGAATTTCAGTAGAAAGACATGTGGTGGTGGTTTGGTAAACCACAAGATGTGCGATGGTTCACGGAGTGAATGGAGCGTACGTGCCTCTGGATGGAAAGGTCCCTGGTTCGAATCATACTTTTGGTTTTTCTTTCAAATAGATTAATCGAAAAAATAATTCTGTGTAGGCATCTACTGTTGAGGCCGATGGTGATTCGCTATTTCAATGAGGTTCATGCAAAAAACCGAGGGGTAAATCTCCAGGAAAAATGTGTACACCAGACTTCCAATGAACAAATACTCCCAAAGACTTCCAAAGACATCCTAAGACTTCCAAAGACATCCAATGACATCCAAAGATTTCCAAAGACTTCCGAAGATTTCCAAAGACTCCCAAAGACTTCCAACGGAGTGTACACCAGACTTCCAAGGAGATTTACCCCTCGCAAAAAACAAACCATGATTGAACTATTTTTAGTAGAAAAAGCGTTTCTTTATTTTTATTGCACTTATCTGTCTTTTTACTACAGTGCATTTTGACATGACACACATAAACGACAAGTATCTAGCTAGACCAGCGAATGTTTGAAACATCGAGGTCAAGTGACGTAACCCACAACAAACTATATTTGTTCCTTTCTTTATATTGAGAAACGACAAATACTACGAGTAAAACGATATAGTTGAAGATCCGAACCTAAATCGACCTTCACCGAGCTGATAATAGAACGATATATATTTTATCATGAATTTAGTATATTAGAAAACATATTGAAAATGGGTTGGCTAAAAAAATCCTGGGCAGACTATTTTTAATTATTTTTCGAAAAATTATTTTTAATTAAATGTTGCAACATCAGGATAATGAAAAAATTGTGTCCTGACTGAAAATATAAAACGTATAGAATGTGCAGCCGTTGGGTTGTCTACTATTTACCTGGGCGAACTACTGGGTTGTCAGGTAAACACAGGTATACCGATGCCAGTTACTTTCACTGGATTGGATAATTTAAAAAAATTTATATCATCATAAGCGCTGTTTAATTGCGAACACGTTGATATAGGGTTGTCTGCGAAAATTCCGGTCCTATTAGGGGTTTGCGAATTTTAAAGATTTTAATTTCAACGCGCGTGGAAGTGTGTGACAGAGAGATCCGAGGTAAGTATACTGTGTAATAATAAAGGACCCAACATCGCAGTCGCTTGTGATGGGACCCTGAATAGTAGGTCCCTACAATGAAATTTTGTTAATGTGGATAATATAATGAAATAACGAACGTTTGGCGATGTTGCCATCTTTACATTTTTTGAACTATATAGCAATCAGTATTTTGGGTCATTCCAAAGAAAATCACATGTTTTCATATTATCGTTAGCACTTTATTGGTACCTACCTCTTATCCGATCTGCTGGAGTTTCCCCGTCTGGTTTATTTTCTTGATCGAGCAGTTTGCGTCCCAAAAGGTGAATATGCTTACACCAGTGTATATACAATCATACCTATAAGTCTGACATAGGTATTTGAATACTATAAATTTTTTTCGATGTACCTCTAGTTCTATTAATTTATCAATGAATTTCTTTCTGCATGTTAAGTTTTCTTTTCAGATATACACAACGAAAATCATTGTCAGTCACTTGTGTTCAAAATTTTTGAAGAAATAAAATTTTTTCCTTTTCGTGAAGAGTCACTTTATTTAAATCGACTCAACAAAAGTAATCTAAGTCTAAAAGCCTATGGGTCATTCCAAAATTCGTGAAGACTGTTTTTAGAATAAGTTCTTCTTTTCCTCATCAATGAAATCGAGTGAATAAGGATGCAATTTTATTTGAAATTTTTATGACGAATCACAAATCGATAAACGCACGTTTTCCGATGGGCAGTCGGCGATCGGCGCTGGATAAGGCCGGCGTTCGAATGTTTGCCTCGGCACGCCAGTTGCACGCAGGGGCTAGACGCAAGTGAGAAGACATACCAAAGAGGAGAACCTACTATTCTTTGGACATACTATTCGTTCCCAAGGAATGCCGAAGAATAGTCACATTTATTTCCGCTGTTTTTTAAACATACACTCTTGCCATCAATAATATCATTTTTAATAACAAAAAATGCCGTTTATTAAAATATTGACGCTGAGAATAATATTCAAATCTCACCAGCTGATCAACTGTGGCTCTGCTACTGATTACTTATGAATAACGTGCCTATAAGTTATATGAAGTTATACTGTACCTTGTTCTTAGTTTTAGTTCGTTAATAAATTTTGTTTGTTAGTTTCATAGAAAAATAATTTTAAATTGACCTTGTTAATTGAAAAAGGCGGGAAAATCATATGTATAACATGGGAGTAAAGTGCCTTTTCCAACCTTGAATGATTAATGCCCTCTGCTACACATTGGCCAGTAAACTTCATCCTGGGGACAAAAAGCTCTACAAATACAAATTATCCAGATATTCTTGACCAGTTTAATCATTTGACAAGAGTTGAATATTAGGTACATTTCATTATTATGCAGGTGGATGATGAAAATATGGCCTAAAATGATGAATATTTGATATTTCAGTTCCCCAATCTGTTGCCATTGTCAGGGTCACTTCACTATCATATGTGACAGAGGTTGTTCTTTTTGGCAATACTTTTTCTGCTCCAGTTGAACTTTGGACATAACAATAGAGTCCGACCATGTTAACTTTGGGACAGCATGTGACGTAAGGCATATACATATTCAATGCAAACGCGACCACCTGCTGTCCCAAAGTTATAGTGGTCAGACTCTAACCAATGTAAAGTTTCCAATCAGCATTGATTCCAATAACTAATAGAACAAGTGGTTGAGTTGCACATTCCAGTTCATCATATGGAATTCCTGTGCCAACAATCTTCATAGCCACAAGTTTCTATTAGCAATGACACTTCACTTGCTTCTTAATAGCCATTTCATGTAGCCTTAGGAAACAAATGGTGTCCATAATTGTTTCTATTTTTGTTTTTTTTTACAATTCAATCCAGGAAAGAACAATGACCATGATTGTGCTTGGAGCAGGCAGAACTGAACTAAAGATGCATCTTACATAGTCACATTGCAGCTCCATCTGACATCAATTCTTATTTTGCAAATCCAAAACAACCTGTTTTAATTGGGTGACTTTTCTAGACAATCTATTAATTCTTTCTTTAGTGTACTTCAGTCTGTTCAAAACTTGCTGCTTGTGTTTCTTTGCCTGTTCCAAATGCATGGCTAGTTTTTTAGGATCCACACTGAAAAAAAAACTCCAATCACATAATATTGTTGATGGTATATTACTATACTGGAGAAATTTGTAACTTACCTATAATCATTGTAGTTTATGCTGGTTTTTTTGAGTGGTCCTTGAAATTCTTCATTATCTGTAGATGAAGAAAAGTCGGTAGACTTCCTTTTTCTGCTTTCCAGCTCTTTGTTCAGTATCAAATCATCATTTTCTGACTCATCATGAATGTCAATAACCTCCTCTGTATTGTAAAATAATTCTTCATCTACATCATTATTTTGTGAGATAGATAAAATTTCAGCTGAGCTGCTTGAACTGAAACATATTTAGAAAGACTATATGAACTATGCTTTGCTAAATATTCTATCAGAATTTCAGTTTTTTCTATGTGAAACTACTTGGAGAGGAATACTCTCAATACTATTCTCTTTATTCTCTGGAAGTAGGTAGGAATTAGATATTTTGCCACAACATTGATAAATGAATAGGTAAGTAATATGCAATGATATATATTATATAATATATAATTCAGTACCTACTTACCTTGGTTCTTGTGTGTTTGAAACCATGAGAGGTTTTTTGAGACCAAGCCTTATGGTAGGAGTGGCAAGTGGTTTCAAACACTGTTTTCCTTTTTTGTAATAAAAACTGTCCTCACTGAAATGATCACTACATATTCTATTACTGGCATGAAGTATTTCCCGAGTAGGATCTCTTCCAATGGCTGTCATCCATGACCTATAGCGTTTGGAAGTTAAACTGTAATCATCAAACAAAAAGCATTATGTTCTAGATCTCTGTGAAGAATCAATAATGAAAAATAATATAGGCATTATATAGGCATCAAAGCTTTCTCATACCTACTGTAAATTTGAAAATATTTAAACCTACCAGAAATAATGTAGGCCTTCAATGTCCCCTCGGTTTCTGCAAAACAGCACCATGCAGTTTTTTCCCATTGTACAGTTTAATTGAAGCAAAACGTTTATTGTTATTTATTATCGACTACACAACTAGAGTTCATCAATTCCTCATCTCAAAAACAGACAGCATAATGGCCACGTTTATACCGTATGGATATTTGGTATGCTTACCAAGGCGATTTGACCAAATTCAGACCAAATGCCTTAGTTAACGCATGTTTACACCATGTATCTTTAGTTGACTAACTTTACCAACTTTGTTTTGATTTGATTATATTTTTGAGGTTAGGTTGTGGAAATCCACTCAAATTCGTAAATTATGAATAATAACATTTAGTAGGATTCGAAATTAGCTGAAATTGAATGGAGAATTGTCATGAAGACTCATGAAATAACAGATACTTGCACTTAACTCTAGTCAAAGCTATACAAAAGTGGACCAAAGTGTTTACACCGTTTTGGTCATCATACTATTTTAGTCTGGTACGCAACGAGTTTCGGTATCAAACCAAGCTGGAAACTTTACCAAGTCTACAGTTTATACCGCACTAACCAAGAGTATTCAGCTAAAATATAGTCATTAGTCAGCTTACCAAGACACGGTATAAACGTGGCCAATAACCGATAATAACAGTAACTATGTTTCTAAGGTAATACTTGTAATAACATAATAACTAATAGGTCGCGTCACCGAACATATACTTTCAGACAAGTATATGTTCGGTGGTCGCGTGCACGAAGACCGACCCTGGAGGCAAAATATTGAAACACAACCTCATTCTTCTGTGATTTATTGAAACACAACCTCACTTTTTTACTTGGTTACAGAGGAATCAAAGGATTGAACTAGTTTTTCACAATATTTTGGCATACGAATCGTGTTTTTTGCGCTATTCATTAATTCGAGCATGCCTTCGCATTGTGCTGTTGTACAATGCACAAAAAATGCAGCAAGAGACTAAAGAATATGATTTTTCAGGTAAATAGTAATCTCAGATAGTTATCATTATGAAATGTTGTCATTCCTTATTAAAATTCCTTCTGCCTTCTGTCACTTCTGCAATACAAGCTGATACTGCTCAACACACACGATTGTTAGCATGTCAGACCAGTCCTCCCGATTGATTGCATGAATCCAATTTTCTGGCATTATTTCAGAAATTTCTGATGTATTTCTATTAGCTTCTATCGCAGAAAGAATTCCGATGAGAAATCAGAGAAATTACCAAATTTCAAAAATGAAAACTATATGTGAGTGACTATATAGGTACTTACTTTTGAATCATATTGTACCAACCGGATTACTTCGTCTTCCGCTGCAGTTTTTGTGCATTTCACAACAGCATAATGTGATGGCATGAGCGAATTGATGAATAGCGGAAAAATACGATTCGTATGCCAAAATAATTGTGAAAAACTATTTCGATCACTTGTAAACAAGTAAGTAAAGTGACGTTTGTGTTTCAATATTTTGCCTCCAGTGTCGGCAACAAACTATAATAGGTATAAAAAACTTCACACACCACACCTGGTTATGTATGGCTCAACGCTTATATTTATGTAATTTATGAATTTTCTCATTCATTAGAAAATGTATTCCCGCCTCCAAACCTTCATGCCTTCAACTAAGATGGCAATGGCAATCTTCTATTCTATATATGAAGCATAGCTGTCCTTGCCGACGTAGGAAAAAAAAATTATGTACTACTCATATATAAAGCATACCTCTCCTCCATATACGTATTAATAAACAATACGGATCATAACGGGTGCCAGGATGAAGCCAAAAATATGAAACAAATGAATATCCATAAGGATTTGGTGGCATGATACGCATGCGCCATGCGCTACTATAGTAGTCATCAAAGACATACGTTTCGGTGGACAATGACGTTTACTAGCCTTTCAATCAAAGCAGTATGTGTCTGATCGTTTCAAAACTTTTCCTTATGGATAGTCATTTGTCTTCAAAAATCGGCCTCATGATTCGCTATGGAAACAAATAGAGATCTCTCCTCAAAGGGTGACCAACTTCTGTCTCTATAGGTAACGGAATCGACCAATAGGCGTTGATGCCGATGTAGGGAAAAAATAATACGAAACTTTCTTTCCTTATATTCAAAAAGTACCTCTCATTTTGGTCCAATTTTTGTTGAAATATCGAATAGGCGATGCGCCAATATGGCTACGAATTTCATATTTTCAAATTGGTTTTAGCTCGTATGTGATTGATTGTGATTGAAATACGAATATTTACGTTTTTAGTTGCACAATTCTTTAAGTGTTCGTATTTTCGTTTATTTTTTTAAACCATGTCTAGTGGAACGAAATGCACTATTTGCGAAGAAAAGAATAGACAGGGAACAGGGATCCTCTATTCATAAGTAGAGTTTCTGTATATACAGGGACTCTATTCATAAGTAAGTTCGTATTTTCAAATTTTCTTGAATTGACCTGCACAAAGGTACTATATACTGTGGTCCATCCTTGTCACTGCACCCGTCAGTCTAGATATCTAGCCGTCATTGTCCTGCGCATGCTTCTGATGGTTTCGGACTGTTAATTTTGTGAAAGCGAACAAACCTTATAAGAATTTGACGTTTATAAAATGTAAATAAGAAAATAAGGTGAATTAAATCTTTCAATCTGAAATCGGAGATTTCATATTTTTGACCGAAATATTTTTTGTTAGATAATGAATAACAGTATCTGGAAAATTTCAATATCACAATATTTTTCCCAGTATGTAAAGTACCAATTTTAATTCGTGCAGATGTATGAGAAGATGGTTATTTTATTCAATATTATTAGAACATTGGGAATCTACAATATATCTATTCAACAGAATAGTGAAGACTCGAGAGTGAAGTGACATGGCAAAGAACACAGAACTATTCATCTGCTTGATAGTCATAATTTCAATAGTGCCCCTATGCATCCTAAACAGATGTATCTTGAACACAGACTTGGTTCAGAATCCACCTGAAGACTATAGCTGGATTATACATGGTATTCGTAATATACTGGGATATAGTACTCTATTCCTACCAGGCTATTTGGTATATAAATATGTGGTCCAAACCAACTATATAAACAAGAGTGGAAGAGGATTGATTGGTGCTATAATAAGAACTTGTTTTGGAGAAGATGATTTTATACCAGTTGGCATAAGCTCTCATCAGGTTATATCAGAAAGAACACCACTACAAGATGGATTCTTACTGCTGTTTTACTTTTTTGGGCTGCAAATTTCTTATTTATCATGGGGTGTTCTGCAGGAAAAAGTTATGACCCAAGCTTATGAAAATTCATTAAATGATATTGGCTATTTCAAAGACTCCCAGTTTCTAGTATTTGTTAATAGAATACTGGCTTTTCTTGTGTCTGGAGCTATATTGTTTTGCAAACGTCAGCCCAGGCACAGGTGTCCTTTATATAAATATGTGTTCTGCTCATTTTCAAACATAATGAGCTCTTGGTGTCAATATGAAGCTTTGAAATATGTATCCTTTCCACACCAAGTACTTGCAAAAGCTAGCAAGACTATACCAGTAATGATTATGGGAAAAATTGTGTCAAGAACAAAGTATGAATATTATGAATATGTAACTGCAGTGATACTCTCTCTGGGTATGTTACTTTTTATGGTTGATACAGGCAATGACAGATCATCATCAACAGCTACAACATTCTCTGGAGTTATTTTGTTATGTTCTTACATAGCTTTTGATAGTTTTACTGCTAACTGGCAAGGCAGTTTGTTTAAGAAATATGAAATGAAGCCTTTGCAAATGATGTGCTTTGTCAATTTCTTTTCTTGCATTTTCACTGCTGTTTCCCTATTTCAACAAGGTGATTTCCTAGTTAGTATTAATTTCATGATAAATTTTCCCAGTTTTGTGATAGATGTGATTTTACTGTCATTTTGTAGTGCTGGAGGTCAATTATTTATATTCAGTACTGTAGCTACCTTTGGACCACTTGTTTTTGTCATAATAAGCACAATAAGACAGGGTTTTTCTGTTTTATTAAGCTGTATCATCTATCATCATGAAGTTGATAATTTAGGCATAATTGGTCTTTTATTAGTATTCTTGAGCATAATATTGAGAATCTATTGTAGCTACAGAATTAAAAGTCTCAAGAAGATCAACATTAATGTAGCTCTAAAGGATTCCCAGATCTAAGTCATATCTTCATCCACATTGACTGTCATGCCTTGCCATGGCAGAAGTAGGTTTCTTTGGATCAACTTTTATCTGCTTCAACTTGAAGTTGAAATTGCTGAACTAGATTTTTTTATATTGAATTTTAATGATTATTATTACCAAAGATGTTATATACTTTCAGAGGTGGCCATTATTTGTATTTACAAATATTTTCCAGTATTTAAATACTTTCTGATGTAAATAATTATATTTATTGTATCTTTGTTCTGTTCACTATTATGTTATTTATATAAATGTTGGCGTCAAACAGTGAAATCCCTCATTCCTTGAAATGTCTAGTCATTTCACATGGTGCTGGGCAAACAGCATTAAACAGCATTACTATTTTTAGCTGTTATTCTGTTTGCTGGATGGTTGAGGAAGGAAAATATCATTTTTCGGCAACTGTCCAGGAAGTGCTCACTTCCCGGACGCTTTTTCTTTGAGAAAGAAGCATTTTTTTCTAGTCCTAGTCCGGAAAGTACGTACTTCCCGGACTAGGCCGAGAAGTATCTATCTAACTATGAAAATATTCCAGGACTCGCATACAGCTTGGCCTAAAATTGTGTCTACTCCTCCAAAAAAACAGTATTTTCCAGACTCATTATGTAAATTACTATTCTGCATAAGCATAGAAAAGGAGACTACTTTTTCTAAACAAAATCTAACCAAACTTTTCCTAAATGAACCTTCTTCCTACTTCCTAGAAAGTATATTTTTCGGAAAATTACGTCCTAGACAGCACTGGATATTCCTAGAATATTCTCTAAATATGCTAAAAAGGAGTATATTCCGAATATTCATCGATTATTCCTAGAATATATACAT